CAGATTGTTACAAATTCAAAATAGTTAAGGACATTTTTTCGTGTCAAGGTAACGGAATTTTGTTTAATAGTGTAAACGAATAAATTAAACTAATGAAAATTAATTCTAAGAATTCTATGCATAATTAAAAAGTTTCAGCGTCAAAGGAAAAAAATAGCATCTACCTTCACTGCAACTTTATGAAATTGGAACCATAAAATTTTCAATATTTAGTTGTGTAGACTACAAGGATCAGAAGAATTTTTTTGTAGCAAGAATCGAAATTTGTTTTTAAAATAACTATCGTCAATCAAAAGAATTTATCATTCGGTGGAGATTCGTCGCAAACTTATGACCCAGCAAAAGCTTAAACAAAGACATTATATATTACAAAAGTTTTTAGAGTATCAAGAATCTTTAAAAAGGAGTACAGATAATACGAGTAACAACCTTCAAATGACCAGTAATTACACACAATTGAACGAATGCCCGGTGAAATGATTAACACACTTCTAATTAACCGACTTAAATGCCCACAAGAAAGAACTTGGCAATCAAGTCCACAAAGGAAAGCTTAGATCTGACTTCACCCAAGCCTAGACTGTAAAGACTTGATATTGTGTGGAGCCTCACAAGAAACAGTGCAATAATTACTGGCCAATGAACTAGTTTTATAGAAGCACAATAATCACCTCGGGCAATGGAGTGATGTTCTGCACGCGAGGGTCCAAGAGGTCCTTTATTATAAATACTTTTTACTTTCTATATTATCACTGCACGCACTTTATTGCCTCAGACACGATAAAGCGCGGCGGAAATCATAGCGCGCCTATCGCTGCTGCTGGGAATTCTTGCGACTTCTTGTAGGCATTCGCGGTGAAAAGAAAGCTTCGTTGACCAGGTCTTTGTCATTAGGTTGGTTTCAAAAGATCCAGTAAGTTGTGGGTCAGGTGGGAAAATGATGAATTACTCATAACTCATAAGTGTGCGTTGAATTCGCATTCATTTTGCAAGAATCTTCGGACAAACATTATGATTTAGACAACAGACCAGGGCCTATACGTTCAAAAAAAGTTAAGAGATCGTAAGTTCAGCAGGCAATCATTGACGGCCTTTCAAGCAAAATCCGCCAATCATAGACAAGAAATTAGAGCGTAAGTACTTACGTTCACTTAGCGAGTTTTGAAAGTATGGCCCCAGGTAACTGAGTCAGGTAAGTGAGCTACTAAATTGAGGGACAGGTTTTAATTAAAGCAAGATTCTAGTAAAATTTGAGATGAATAATTAGAATGTTTTAGGTATTTCTACAAATTGGAACGTAAAATACGACACTGGAACGACCCAGGAGCGTACAAGTAGCCTAAACATGAACGATTGCTTAACTATCATCACATTTAACGAATTTCAATACCAGTTCGCGGTAACTCCTTTTACACCTCAGAAATGACTCGTCCGTGAATCTGCCTTGACTCAGCCATGACCATGTCACGGCTACACACTACGGCAACGTACATCAAAATTTTAAGAGTTGCAGAAAGCTGCAGATGCGACCGCGCTCGCCAGCTCGCCACAAATTGATGAAAGTCTAATGAAGTTTACCCTAAATTTCCTGACCTGGATGGTAATTTTCCAAGTTTTAATCAGAGAAGTTAGAGGGCGGTGCGAGAGACGCTCATCTTCCAGCAGCCGGCGAGTGAGCGCAGCCGCGCTGATGCAACGGCCAAGAATTTTCATGAGCCAGGGAAGCTTCAGGTTCTTCAAGAAGCTTCGCGAGCGCCGGCAACTGGACGCGGTGGTGCCTCGAGCACCTGCAACTGGACGAGGTGGTGCCTCGAGCGCCTGCAACTGGACGCAGTGGTGTCTCTAGCGCCTGCAACTGGACGCAGTGGTGCCTCTAGCGCCTGCAACTGGACGCAGTGGTGCCTCTAGCGCCGGCAACTGGACGAGGTGGTGCCTCGAGCGCCTGCAACTGGACGCAGTGGTGTCTCTAGCGCCTGCAACTGGACGCGGTGGTGCCTCGAGCGCCTGCAACTGGACGCGGTGGTGCCTCGAGCGCCTGCAACTGGACGCGGTGGTGCCTCTAGCGCCTGCAACTGGACGCGGTGGTGCCTCGAGAGCCGGCAACTGGACGCAGTGGTGCCTCTAGTGCCTGCAACTGGACGCAGTAACGTCAGGGCGACAGGTCTTTGTGCCGGAAGGGAAGTGGTGACTGACGCTAGTCATGGGACTGGAAAGTGAAGTGATGTTTGGGATTCTCGGTGCTGGACACTGAAGTGATGTTAGCTATGCGGATATAACGGTGCTGGAACTGAACTAATGCCAGAGGCGATACATCGGAAGCCAAAATTTGTCGCTTCAATTGGGTCATGTGACGCAACATTTATACAGTCCCACGCGCGTGCAAGCATCGACGCTTTAACACACGTTCTCATCGAAGGCACCTTCATATCAGCTGTTATACTTAGCAGATATTGAGTCAATTGCATATTAGTTCTTGAGGGCTCGTCTTTGTAGCCCTCGGCTTAAGTAGAATGATTCCATATAATAACTCCCCTCTCAAAATAAAAACATTGAAAGAATTAAGATGTATAAATTAGAATTTTAGAGCCGAGATAATGAGTGTTCTAAACTTTCGAATTAAAAGTTTATCAAAGTTAGTAAAACAAAATGAACTTAAGTGATTATGATACACTTAAGATATCATCAACTTTAAGATGTTCGTAAATTCAGGTTCTTATGTAGGCAGTTTTGAAAATTAATGAGAAATACAGAAGGAAATTGATGGGAAGAATATGAGCACAACTTAATGTGATGACACGATTGGTGATGACACGAATGGTGATGACACGAATGGTGATGACACGAATGGTGATGGCACGAATGGTGATGACACGAATGGTGATGGCACGAATGGTGAAGACACGAATAGTCAGGCACAACTGTGATGACGCGAATGGCCAAGCATGATGAGGTTGACACCTATGGTCAGTGTTGATTGAGTTTCATTGACCGGAAAATATGACCGCACGGATAAAAATATTATTGGCCACCGTCCAAATACAGTATTAACAAAATATTATCTAATAAAAAGTATCTCGCATTAAAGTAGTACATATTAATTTGCCAATAGGAACCATCACTGCCCACGAATTAAGATGAACAGATTCGGTATCTCGATGAGCGTGTACGCAACAGGAGTAGGATTATAGGAAATTTCATTATTTTTTCTGTATAGAATGTGCGTTGAATAATTGTCCACAACATATAGTAAATCTAATATCAAATTCGATGCCTCGATGCCAATCTATTTCTAACTACAATTTCTTACACACTATTACCCTTTTTCTCTTTATCCATTACTCTATTTCTTACAAACAAATATTACCTTTTTATGTCCAGTTAGATTTTTATTATCTCTATCAGTACCTACGTATCTTGTGCAATAATACAATTCCTTCAAGTACAGTTATAAAAAAACTCAACTCGAAACACACGACTACAATCCAGTAATATCTTACTCTCCTAGATCGAAACCACTCAAGAAATAAATGCGCGCTCGTTCATTTAACTTGCACTGGTTGGAATTCTGTAAATGCAGATTGTTCGGTCATTCACTGAACTTTTGCAGTATTGATCATTATGTGCTCGTTACAAGTAATCATGCAACATGGCACGATTTTCTAGTTAGCTCATTACCATGACAGTCAATTAAATATGTAACTCGAGCAGTGATAGACGCCCAATAGCAGGCGGGATCCATGATGCCGCTCTGAGAGCTGTTCTCAACTTCTCAGAGACAACGTCCAGCAATACGAATACTGAGAATTTCGATAAACATAGATGGTAGTATCGGTACAGAGATGGCAGTATCGGTACAGAGATGGTAGTATTCATACAGAGATGATCTATTATGAAGATAGTAATATTTTCTTTGACACGCTAGCATTTGGTCGGGCCAGCGGCCCTAATATTGCTCTTCACAGGCTCCGGTCTGGTGGCGAGATCGACAAGCGACCGAGCTGCCGTGAGACCGGCCGACGTCGCGCATGCTGTAGCTTTGAGATTAGTACTGGAGCGTCGACTAGGACAGAACCGTGCTATTACAGTGGTATAGAACCTTTGTGGCACACTAGGATAAAGCCGTCCAATTGAACAGTACCATACTCACCTAGTACACTAGTGACTAGTATAGAGCCTTCGTATAGCACACCAAGACAGTGCTTAACGAGTATGTATGAGTAGGTTAGTTCTTTACTACAGTACTTGGTTGGTTCCGTAGTACTGTGCTAGGACAGTTCTTTAGTTATATACTCGTACGTATTGGTATTTGAACTTTCGATTGCGTCTTTATCTGCGTGGCCCAAGTTTTGCACAAAATTTCTATTTAACTAATACCAGTCAAGAAAATGCGGTTTCGAGTCTGCAACGGGAAGCATTAGACTAGTACCGTACTAATACTGTTATTACATCATTAGACTGTTATTAGAATTAGGCTGCTAATAACCGCAACCTGTAGCGATATCGAATTACTCCCCGGACTGTCCCAGCTAGTGACACATAGCAGGTTTCGATACTAGTAAACCTAGCCGATGTAAACTCACAGCTCTTCAAACACTAGTCAACAACTGAAATGCGTTGCCGGTGGATGCACTAACCACCGTCCGGCTGAGTGGAACTCTAGGAATGTTAGTTCATATTCAGGACGCATTCAAACTTGTAATTCGATTGTTCCAGTTTATCAGCTGCAGATAAAATGAACCAACAGTTTTAGAATATTTAAAAACCTAACTGCAGAAACAATTTAGATAGTAATTTGATTCGCCTTAATTGGACATTTTGGCCAAATTTAGTACTATTAGAGTTGCAATACCATCGCTCGGGTCATTAATTACGATGTTACATTGTTATAATTTCAGCGTTACCAATAGCATTATTCACCAACTATAAGGTACATCAGAAAGAAGTCTTTAACAGTAGTTTCTTAATGAAACCTAATGTGAAATACTTAGGGTCTAGCTTACCTTGAAAAAGAAGGTCGCATCGCCGTCGTTGTAGCGCTCATGAAGCAGATTGAAGAAAAATTCTACGTGCAAGAGTTCGATTTTTCTTATCGCAAAATCTACTTTTTGATAACCCGACCACACACTAGACTTTGATCAGCTCTGATTGTTCGGATGCATCAATTTCAATCAAAATTTTAATCTATGTGATTTTTCCCACTTAAAAGCTGCATAAGGGAATCAATACAGAAATATGCACAGTTTCACTGGACGAAGAACGGAACAAGGAAGCACAAGTCGGACGCGTTAAAAGTGATAACTGTATTTGCTCAAGTATAAAAAATGGCTTGGCAAAACAAGTGCTGCAGTAAACCTGAAAAAAGTTACGACAGAAACTCATTTGGCATATTTTAGGTATGAATCAGAATATTATAGTCCACTGTAATTCGCCTAATGTAATCCAGTAATTGAATATACCGTTTTTAGACCTCTCGAAAAATCGCAAATAAACGAGGTAGGTATTTTAAAAACTAGGTATGTCATGACACATAAACTACTCAAGAGTTGCCCGCCCAGAATTTTGCTTGATTATATGAGCCGTTGCTGAACGCATGATTCATCAGGAGCAACATAGCGAGCTTACGTGAGCGAGGAGACTTTTATTTGGGACCAACATTAATCTTCCATTGGGGCACATAGTCTCGGGACTAGGCAAGAAACAGTTCAAAACACACGTTTCCATTCTACATCAGAATGAAAATAGCACTAGGAGTAACTTTTGTTTACAACAAAAATTGATCGAATTTACAGTAAAGAAACATTTGTTGTCTTCGTTTCATGAAAAACAGCAATCTGAAAGATTGAACATCAGTCAGCTGATGCCGTGATGGTGCTAACGAAAGCGAATGTCAACCACCCACGTTGAGAGCTGGATGCGCACTGAAGCCAAAGCTGTCCGCGGCTCCGCCGGCAGCTGTCCAGAGTCAACTTCGGGATACATACCTCATGGTTGAACTAGTACATACCTATTCTCGAAAGGAATAAAATAACTTTTGAAAATTTTATCTGGAGCATTTGTTATCAATGATTAAAAAAAACTGCCACTAAATTAGCAAATCGTAAAAACATCGTTTAATCATTATCATAGAGCGCATGTCAACCAAGCGAAGGCTACGTGAACCGTCACCCAGTTAATTCATGAAACGTGATAAAAAAACAAATGATGTAAAGTTTGCTTGAACACTTCACATGGTAATTCATGCATTTTTGTTTTAGCGAATCGTGGATAGGTTCAACTTGCACAAAATGTCAGGAGGCTCTAATATATGTTTCATGATCCACATCAGACCTTCACGTGAAATTCGTCCAGGGAAACATTTTCTTTCAACTCAAATGCCCGGAAATAAAAAATATTATTGTGTTAAGAGGTTATCATTATCGTAACAATGGAGTTCTTAAAGAAATTTGGGTATGATCGTAATTGAAGGACTGAAGTATCTTATTTACTGTGCACATATTCCTAGTTTCATGAATCTCGTTCATATAGTAATCTCAGAGTATACTCTATGTTTAGTTCGCAATATTCAAAAATCTGAATGAGAAACCGATTTACGTTTTTTTTATCCTTTTTGTAAATCTTTGCTTTCAGGCCTTAATCGTTTCAAGATTTTTCTCTTTCAACAAAATTTACATAACCCTGCAGTACGCCACTATAACCTATCCATGGTTGAATTAATACAGTATTAATTCAACCATGAGACTATCTTCAGTCTAAATCGATTCGTTGCAACAAATTCCGTTTCAAAACTAGACTCCGGACTAGAAATTGCTTGATGCTCAGCGCTAGATGCAAAATTTCAGCGCCATTGCCGCCAGCTGAATTACAATCTGCCGCTCGATTTACATTTATTCTCCATAATAGATTCAGGGAGGCCTGTAGTCAGTCGGACGTGAATCAGGTTCATTTCCGAGCCTAATAAGCGAGTGCACAATATATTTTGCTGCAGTCCTGGTTGTCGGGAACTCTAGACCTTAAATGCATTCTCAGGTGATCAAAAGGTAATCAAAAGTTATTTAGGCAAAGTTTTTACATCCATAAATTTGAGAGATATTAGGTAATTATTATGTGTTATTTATTCCCTTTCCAACAGCGAAACTAAAAACAAGCTAACGAACGCGAAAATAAACGTTTCTAACGAAAGTAGATGATTGCTTCTGGTCTTCACAGGAATATATTAGGCTGACTAAGAATCTAATAACCTAAAACACAATTATCAACTGAAACTAATAAAAACAATATATGGCCAGTCATGAGATTAAACGAAATATATATACTAAAAATTAGCAAGCTAAGTTTAAAACTGGTTTAAAAAACACAACTTACATCATAAATAAATGCTATAATATAATAACCAATTTAATATTAGGAACATGATAAAAAATAGACATATTGTCTATTTAAAATGTCTTGGGGCAAGACATATGTAGTCGTCCTTCAAACCACTGCATTATTTTACACATTTAATAAGTCATTTCTCTGCACACGTTCAAAGCGCTCGAGGCTACACTGATGCGAGGCGTTCTGCGTCTCATGCAAATACTGGGGAATGAATACTGTAGCCTTGTATAATGAACGTACTCATTATACTTGTATACTTAATGTACTCATTATACTTGTATAATGAACGTACTCATTATACTTGTATAATGAACGTACTCATTATACTTGTATAATGAACGTACTCATTATACTTGTGTAATGAACGTACTCATTATACTTGTGTAATGAACGTACTCATTATACTTGTGTAATGAACGCTGCTTCAAAAGCGTACTAAGAAGAAATTCTTCAAATTTAATGATATTATTATATTTAATAATATTAATTTATTGATATTTTTTTTAACCTGAAATTGAAGTTGAAATTGAAATTTTGAACTTGAAATCATTGCGTTGAAATTTAGATTTGAAAGTTAAACTGGACATTTCATCTTTGAATTTGATCTCTAACCTTTGAACTTGAAATTTGAACGTTAAACTTTGTTTTGAAAATTTGAAATTTGAAAGTAGAACTTATATTCTGTTTCGTGTTCTATACTCTATGGAGAGCAACAGCTTTTGTTACAATCAATAAGGCACTTATGAAACCAAATTATAGACTTTTGTATCGCCTTGATAACAATAATGAATAATTGATAATATATAATAGATAGTTTTTTTTCAGAATCAATAATTCTTAGTTAAAAACAAAGTGACAACGACTTTTCACAGATATTAATTTCTATGTTGATTTTTCCTGTGCGAGCGTCCCATGTAAAACTTGCAGCGAATGTTCGTCGACTAAAAAAACTCGATTGAGGAATTAATTTTGAAAAAAGCTTTATAGTATTCATGGATTCATCACAAGACAAGATAATTTTGTTAGATCCGTGAGACTTTCTATGGATATATCACAGAATATCACAAAAAGAGTTGCTTGACGCCGTTCTGCTCTCAGTCATTCAGGTGCTCAATGCATGATTATTTTTTCGTAACTTTTCATAAATTTTCAAATTGGTTTCATGGTGAGTTAAAATTGTGAGAATCTACATGAGTCTAGTTGACCCAACCCATAACACTCATTATATTTTTCAAATGCTAGCTTTCACTAGAAAGTCGGTATATTTGTTATCAAGGTGCTCGCTCGTTTTACTGAAGAGAATTTTGAGAACCGTAAAAATTCTGGACGTGTCGCAAGACTATTTAACGGACCAAAGTCTTCCACACGGAATGACGGGAAGACATTCCACGTAAAGCCATTCCGATAATTGAATGAGATTCCAGCCGCGAGCCTCTCTCTGGCAGCAAGCCTCCTTCTGAACCTCGCCTCTCTCTGGCAGAGAGCCTCCTTCTGAACCCTGCCTCTCTCTGGCAGAGAGCCTACTTCTGAACCCTGCCTCTCTCTGGCAGCAAGCCTCCTTCTGAACCCTGCCTCTCTCTGGGAGCAAGCCTCCTTCTGAACCCTGCCTCTCTCTGGGAGCAAGCCTCCTTCTGAACCCTGCCTTTCTCTGGGAGCGAGCCTCCTTCTGAACCCTGCTTCTCTCTGGCAGCAAGCCTCCTTCTGAACCCTGCCTCTCTCTGGGAGCGAGCCTCCTTCTTAAATACAGTGTATTTGTTAATGATTTTCAGAACTGAAGTACATGGCTATATTTGAAAGTTAAACTCAAATTTCAGTTAATCCGGAAATAAGCTTATTGTCCCTTACATTAGGCTCACAACTACGACATTAAGCCGACGTCTCACGTACCACCTTCAGTCTGGTGGACCAAAGAACCACCTGATGGAGGCCCACAACGAGACCATCACTCGTACGGTGGAAGAATGCACCAGCGTCGTCATGAGATGCCCCGACGCCAACCGACTCATGATAGCTGAGGCCCTCATCATTAAGGATAGGACCCCAGCCATCAACCTTCAAACTACTGGATTTGTCAGAACCTTGAGACTGTTTTCGGAGTAATTTTTGGTGCGTTAATTCTATATCATTTTCATATTATCGTGATTTGGCAATTATTTACAAACAAAGACGGATTTTTGAGTAGCATCCTATTTACATGATTTTTTACTTAGGTCGATCCAAATTTCATTACTCAGTGCATTTTGTAACTTGATAATGAATTACTGATACATTCAGAACGTTGTTAACGAAATAAAAATGTCCATCGGCACCCTGATATTCGACTTACCAGTGCAACCGAAAATTATTGTTCGATATATTTAAATAAACTGTTGAGAAAATTGTTAATAAAACAAATTCTCTGGTCTTCAATGAAACCATCTTAAAGGAACAAATCCTACCAACCTATACTAATTTTTTAAAAGGTAATACCTATCAAAAAATCGGTAATACCTTTTAAAAATTTAAAAGGTAATACATTTAAACCTAATACCTTTACTTAAACCTAATACCGAATACCTTTTAAACCTAATCGCTGCAACAAAATTTATTTCAAAAGGGCACCAATACCCAAGAAAGTGACGCGCCTCATGTTAACCAAGTAAGTATTTCAACTAGACTCCTGCGTTTGGTATTTTTTTTAATCCGAGACGAGACGAGACGAGACAACAGGCTCTGTCCCGGTTCGCAATAAAAACCGGGACAATTTTCAGCCTTCCGTTGGAATTCCGGGACGATACCGAGACG